GCGATACCATAACGAGTGTAGATTGTCTCATTCGAGACAGACTCAGAGCATGGTACTCAGGCAACGGTAGACAAATACCAGTTTTTCACAACTGCGCACACTGTCTCCTGTTCACAGCCGCTCTGAAGCATTAGCAGGGATGATTCCCAGTGCATGCGAATGTTCGTGTTGTTTGAAATATGGCGCCGGATCTAGGAACAATTTCGAATTATTGCGAAACCCAGAAGGGCAGTGTGGATGTGGGAGACGGTATCATTCTTACAGTATGCCTTTACCAAAGTGCACCATGCGATACTTAAGGCTGTCCCCCAACTTGGCAACCACTAATCTTGAGGGGTGGCTCTTCCTGACCGGGAATGCAGCTCGAAAACACTAGTTTTGCTACCTAATTGCTGCCTAATTTTGCGACTCCCTTCATTTGCGACGCTAAATTCTGTTAGTCATCAAATGTAAGCGTATCCAAGATCAAACAGCCGGTGCCCTGGGGCAAATTATACAGGGTGTCCCAAAAAATGTATACACACTTTAAACCATTGTAAATTTGGTGTTTATTATAATTTTATTACTTGGAAAATGTAAAAATATTAAAAGTATCCTTTTATTGTTTTTTTTCACTGCATTCTGACTATTGCAACAGTGGCTGAATTGAGAGAAGCCGTTGAAAATGAATGCACCCGAATATCAAGGGAATTGTTTCATGATGTGATTCCATTGCCTCACGTTGTCAGCAGTGTAATGATCAAAATGGACATCAGTTTGAAAACAGCGAAAAAACAATAAAATGACACTTGTAAATATAATTATATTTTTGAAATAACTAAATTGTAATAAACACCAATTTTACAATTATTTAAAATGTGTATACATTTTTTGGGACACTCTGTATATGAACAAGACCGTATGGGCCCCGCCAGACCTCCAGTAATTGGCGTATCGAAACCGGATGGTTGACAGAATTCAGCTTTGTCGAACGCTGTACGGACTATCAAACGGTTCGCAGAGGCTCTCTCGTTCCACGTCCAGCTTTGAATCCGGCTTTGTTGGGCTTCGTCCTAGAATCAAGCACTAGTATAGCAACACTCGTAAAGCAATGTGGATAAGGCCTATGCCTATCGCTTTGTTTTACTTCTCTTCTTGACAGACCCAGGAATAGCCGAACTCCAGTCGTCAGCAATCACGTTTCCCCACTCTTAGTTTTTCATAAAGCTAGAAAGTCGCAAGGATCCCGCCCTACAATCGCCTTGTTGTCTCGAGAATACACGAAGTTGTATGCACCGACTTCCCCTAGCTTCAGAATGACGATCGATATCTCCGTTTTGCCTTAGAGCTTTGGACTGGTAACCTACACTGGTGGTCGTATGACAATTAGCAACCAGTCAAGTTTTGCCGACACTGGAATGGTGGTTTCTGGTTTATCTGCCGTCATGTTCAGACTCCCGCGGTTTGAGCGCAAGTTATTTGGTTACCGAACAGTGCCCTCATCACTGTGCTGCAAATGAGCCAAAGATAACGATCAGTGTTCCCGTCTACCTCAGTAAAATTTCTCAAAAAGAAGTGCACATTAGTTTTGCTTGTGAGGTTTCAGGCTTTTCCTCAGCATTGAGTAGGGGTTGATCTATTTTGACACGTCTGCTACACGCTATCTCTTGAAACTTTTTTCCCACAGTTGTGTGGTTCTGCTCTTGATTTAATCATATTTCACAATGGGTACTCCATCCTTACGCGCCGGGGTCAGCCGTAGTTATATTGAAAGACTTGAAATCGTACCAACTGCCTAAATGTAATATATCGTTTCACACCCTTAACCAGTCTGTGTGTCAAAACACGACGTTATCCCGGATCCAGCGGTCACACTACATTTACATTTTAAAAATAACAGAATTGCCGTAAGCAGTGAAACCCAACAATATCCTGAGGAAGCGGCTGTAAATTGTGCGCAAATTTTTATATACTAAAGCAGATTTGTAAAGCATCTGCAGCACTCTTACCACATTCGCAATGTCCTACTGACAAGCCAGTCACAAACAAAAATGGTAATGGACG